ATGAATCTGGGGTGGAAGAGGGCAGACCATTCTGCCTGTTCCAGTCTGTATAGTGGAAAGCTCTGCCGAATGCGCTCAGTTGACATGTATTTAGGAGGAAAGCTGCCTGTAGCTCTAGCCCAGTCGATCAGTTGGGTGGAGCATCGTCCCGTACACCAAGGGGTATTGTGGGTTCCAGTCTCGGTCAGGGCACATACCTAGGTTGTGGGTGTGATTCCAGGTCAGGGTGCATATGGGAGGCAGCCAGTCAGTGTTTCTCTCTCTCTGTCTCTTCCCCACCCCCTTGCTCTCTCTAAAATCAGTTAAAACAAAACAAAACATATCCTTGGGTGAGGATTTTTTAAAAATTGACTTAAAAAACCAACCACTATATAATATATATAGTATTGCCTTATTTTTGTAAAAAAAAAAAAATTGATTGTAAAACATATTTTTACTATCCATAGGGAAAAACTTGAATAACTACACAACAAATTACTATTATTTCTGTGTATACAAGTTCAGAGGACTTCAGATTTTATGGAATATTTGAATATTTTGAATATTTTGTAGTTAACACATATTACTTTTACAAAGTGTTAATTGTGCCAGGTAAGCACGTTTGTGTTGAGTGCTGTATGGGATGAGAAACCTAAGATTAAGACCCACAAGGAGCTAGTAGTTTTATTTGGGAAGAGAGTATATTCAGGTGAAACACGTTAACACAATGCTGGCAGTATACAATGGTCGCAGTTGTTGAGTACACACTCTTTAGGTGCTGTAGGACTTAAGAAGAAAGAACATGAATGCTTTCTGCCGTAGCCGATAAATAGGAATGATACTAAATGTATTCATTTACATAGGAGTGGGGAACTTTTTTTCTGCCAAGGGCCATTTGGATATTTATAATATCATTTGCGGGCCATACAGAATTATCACCATAAAAGTTAGCTATGAATAATAAAGCTCCTAGATTTATTGAATTTCGAGTCCCACCTGCAGTTGCCTCAGGAAGGCCAGACCAAATGACTTCATGGGTCCTATAGGGCTGACGGGCCGGACATTCCCCACCCCTAATGTAAATAAAAGTACTAAATGTACACTGTAAAAATTCAAGTAGAGGAAAAACAGCTTCCTGTATTGTCACTTGGCTATTTGGTAATTTCGTTCTTATCAGACATGCATATTGTCTGCAGGCTTATATACATATTGGTATTCTTTTGCATGTCTCATTTTAGGGTAAGTTTCCAGCAGTGGAATTGCTGGATAAAAGTTTCTTTAATGGGAAAATTTAAACTGATGGAGCAGAGGGATATAATCAGGGGAGGGGCGTATGGGGATTTGCCAAAGGCAGTGGTATTTCATTTCTTAGCTGAGTGGTAGGTACTGCGTAGTGTTTTATTCTTTGTACTTTATAGTTTGTATAAGGTATGAATAAAATATTTGAGTAAAAACATTTTACTTTGGATAGATATTAAAATTTGTCGCCAATTTTTTTCCTAAAATCACTCCCACAGGTGTATGAGACTGTGAAAATGCCTGTTTTTGTCACATCCTGGTAGCTTTGATTGTTGTTTTGCTGCTGTTTTATTTTCATTTGTTTTTAATATAGTGAATCTACTTTTTAAAAACTCCAAGTGGTGAATGCACATAGAGGTTTAAAAAAGTTTCAAAGAATTGCTAGCAGGCTTACAGAAACATTGGTTTCCTGCCTCTACCCCCCAACTCCTTTCTGCATCCCATTTAGATTTTTCACCTACTAGAGTGACAGAGTTTACTTCATAGAAACTCATATTGGGCGAATTTTTGACAGCATGGTAAGACTTGGTAGTGATAGGTACAAACTGAAAACTAAGGAAATAAAAGTAAAGCAATTAGCCCTGGCCAGTGTGGCTCAGTTGGTTGGAGCATCATTCCGTGCACGAAAGGGTCTAAAACAGTTCTGAAAACTGTTTCTTAACCATAGGATTATACTGCTTCCTCTTCGTTCTTCAGTGTCAGTTATCTGTTCATTGCAGGTGTTGCAGAGATGGATTTAGACCTCCTGCCGCCTCCCTCCTTTCCACTCTACGCCTTCCCGCTGTATTTATCTGAATGTTGTTTGGCTAAATTGGTATTCAGCGTTTGAATGAGTGCTCTCCAATGTGCCAAATAATATAACAACTATAATACAATTACTTTTGCTTTTCTTGAGATAATTGCTTTATATTTAGTTAGTTATTTAATTCTCACCCAAGGATATGCTTTTATTGACTTCTTAGAGAGAGGACGGGAGAGGGGCAGAGGGAGAAACAGATTCAGGAAAGAAACATGGGTCGGTTGCCTCCTGTATGTGGATGGTTGCCTCCTGTATCCGACCAGGGATCAAACCTGCAACCTGGTTATGTGCCTTGACCAGAAACCGAACCCGAGACCCTTTCGTGCACGGAATGATGCTCCAACCAACTGAGCCACACTGGCCAGGGCTAATTGCTTTACTTTTATTTCCTTAGTTTTCAGTTTTTACCTATCCCTGCCAAGTCTTACCATGCTGTCAAAAATTCGCCCAATATGAGTTTCTGTGAAGTAAACTCTGTCACTCTAGTAGGTGGCATAAAATAGAGTGCACTACTATGCAGACTCCTCCCACCTTTCAGCTGCCGCCTGGGCGACCCCCTGAGGTCTGCCTGCCATCGTGGGACTTCTTGCCTCCCCTATGTGTGGGAGTGCCTGTGTCTTGGCTCCCATGTGTTCCTTCTTTTTGCTTTAATTCCTTGTTTGGGTGAAATGTGTCCTCAAAATAGCTTTCTGTGAAAATGTGAGAGGTAAAATTTTGGGGATGTTTGATATCTTAAAATGCCTTTATTCAACCCTCAAACTGACTTAGTTGTAGAAGTCTAGGTTGAAAAAAATTCAACTCTAAATTGTTACAGCTTCACTTGGCTTCTTGTGTCTAAGGTAATTTTGCTATTTGGTGCCCTCTTTTCCTCTCCCCAGAAGCTTTTAGGATATTTCGTTTATCTTTGATTCCCTGAAAATTAAAGGGTGTTTTTGGTTGGTTGGTTTCTTGTGGGTTACTTTTCCTTCATTGGACCAGCTCTGCAGTGAGCCCTTTTTATATGGATATTGACATCTCTTAGGTCTTAGAAATGTCTTATTTCTTTGATAATTTCTTCTCCATTTGTGATTTTCTTCTTTTATTTGATAGTTGAAATAAACGAATGTTATAGGGATCAGATATGATATGATGCCATGAACTGAGGAATATTATTAGCTTAACCCTCTGCACTTTAGCAATGAGACAGAGAGAGAGAGGGATGCTGGAAGGGACCAAAATATGCAGAGAGGGCCTTTCAAATTGGAAAACAATTTGAACAAAGGCAGAGAGGTAGGAATTCCAGAATAAAAGAGTGGTGGGAAAATGAGCGTTATTGATGGATGGTTTTTGAGCTAGTGAGTAATTAAGGATGGCCAAGCTGGTAATGGTGAACAAAAGGATTGGGGGAGATAAAAAAACTAGGAGTTGGGAGAATCACTGGAAGGCGGTTTTAATAAACCAGGTCCAAGGTTGATAAGGTCAGTGAAAAGGAAGACACACATACGAGGTTCTTTATGGAAAAATTAACAGGGTGCAGCGACTGACTGGAAATTGATGATGAAGTGAGAATTAGCTCCACTAGTAACTTTTCACTTTTTTTTTTTTAATATATCTTTATTGATTTCAGACGGAGGAAAGGAGAGGGGGAGAGAGAGAGAGGTAGAAACATCAATGATGAGAGAGTCATTGATCGAGCCCGCAACCCGGGCATGTGCCCTGACTGGGAATCGAACCCCGATCGCCTGGATCCTAGGCCGACGCTCAACTGCTGAGCCACGCCCGGCCAGGCAACTTTTCACTTTCTTAACCCTTGAGGTATTTAGCCGCTCATACTGCGTTGTTCGTGCTCCCTTGACATGGGGCCCGTTTTCTTAGCATGATTAAAAACGCAGGTAGTGAGGAGGATTTCTTGACTCATTTGCCACCAGCATAAGGTGGTGGGGCCACATGTGGGGATGGTGGTTTGTGCCATCTGCATAAGTGCTTGTGGCACTTACTCCCCTCTGTCCATCCGTGTTGCTCTGTAGAGGAAGCCAGTGCTAAACAGCATTTTGTATGGCTTACTGTCCATCTCTTGACAGTTACTTAGACAATCTTTATATATATATCTTTATTGATTTCAGAGAGAGGAAGGGAGAGGAGAGAGACAGAAACATCAATGATGAGAGAGTCACTGATCGGCTGCCTCCTGCATACCCCCGACTGGGGATGGAGCCCACAACCTGGGCATGTGCCCTGACTGGGAATTGAACCCTGAGCCACGCCCAGCTGGGCTGCTTGGACAGTCTTGTCGTTATTCATCACCCTGCTATGGTTTCGGCAAGGAAATGGAAAAGGTTATACATGTATTGTTTCTTCTAATTTGGCGCCTTATTTTCAGAACACAAATGGACAGAAAATATTAATCCCTTTAAATTACTGAAGAGAAATAACTTCCTTCTTCAGAAGGACTTGGTATGCCTTTTAGTGATATTGGGATTGTCTTCCTCTTATGAAGCCCTTTTTTTCCTATCATAACACCCCACAGAGAATATATCATCTTTGATCTCTTTCTTTGTTCTGCCCTTAAACATTATTTTCCCAGGTGATGTGTTGAGAGGTTAATGTCTGCTCCTTTTTATATGGGTTCCTGTTTTTAATATTGAAATTTTTTTTTATTTTCTGAAGATGAAGAGGTGGAAATTTGTAACTTAAAAAAAAAAGTAAGCTAAGAAGCTTTTTGTGCAGAGCCATTTCTAGATGCATTTGCCTGTGGCTTGCAACTGCACGTTTCTGTGGTTGAGATTGACCTCTCATGGTGAATGGAAATAGTTCAGGAAGTGCTATGACCCATGGCAGTTACAGTCAGTGTTCATATAGTACTTGCTAGCTGCAGCTTTAGGAGGAGTTGAAAGATGCACCTCCCAAACCAGAATAACTTATTAGGAAGTTTTCTTTGTATTAGGTGGAGCGGCCTCCTTCTCCGTTCTCCTCGGCCCCGCAAGCTTCCCTTCCCCCAGTGCCACCACGACTCGACCTTCTGCAGCCACGCGTGTCCATTCCCGCAAGTGCTTCTGGTCTTGGAGCTGCTTCTAAGGTACCCATGATCTATTCCTACACTTTTCTGATTCCTTGTTGCGGGATTAGTAGGTTTTGATTGATTTGCTTCCATCATGCTTCCACAGGCTGCTTCTGGCTCCCTTCATAAGGACAAGCCATTACCAATACCTCCCACACTTAGAGATCTTCCACCGCCACCTCCTCCAGACCGGCCTTATTCTGTTGGAGCTGAAACCCGGCCTCAGAGACGCCCCTTGCCTTGTACACCAGGCGACTGTTCATCCAGGGACAAACTGCCCCCTGTCCCCTCTAGCCGCCTTGGGGAATCATGGCTGCCTCGGCCAGTCCCCAGAGTACCAGTAGTCGCCCCAAGCCCTAGTGACCCCTGGACAGGGAGAGAAGTAACCAACCGGCACTCACTTCCATTTTCATTGCCCTCACAAATGGAACCCAGAGCAGACGTGCCTAGGCTCGGAAGCACATTCAGTCTGGATACCTCCATGGTGAGTCCTGATTTTGAAATTACTTAGCCTACTAAGAAATATTTGTGGCCCTGGTAGTGTGTCTCAGTGGTTAGAGTGTTGGCCTGTGCACTGAAGGTCGCGGGTTTGATTCCTGGTCAAGGGCATGTGCCTGGGTTGCAGGTTTGATTCCTGATCCTGGTTGGGGCTTGTGTGGGAGGCAACCAATGGATATGTCTCTCTCACATTGATGTTTCCCTCTCTTTCTCTCTTTCTGTTTTCTCCTCCCTCCCACTCTCTAAAATTCAATGGAAAAAAATATCCTCTGGTAAGGATTAAAAAGATAAAAAAAGAGAAATATTTGTGGGTAGCATTTAATGGGTCAACATTTTGTGGTAGGTCTTATATAAGATTCAAAGATGATAAAACATAATCCCTACCCTGAAGCAATGTATATTTTGTAGAGCAGGTAAGACATGTTTGTAAATGCAGTGTACATGCATGCGTGTGCGTGTGCACCTTGAGTAGTATAAATAAAAAACACTTAAGTTTTAGAGAAAGGAGAAATTATTTCCAGAGAGAGAAACATTGAGGGCTTTGTGGAAGGAGGAGCCTCTAAATTTGAAGTACTCTTTCCAAATCGTGTACGGTTCTAGGATAGATCAGAGCTGCAATGACAGAAATGCTTAAGGTTTATTGTAGAATGAGAGGTAGTTGGAATAAAGCAGAAATTTTGTGTATCAAAGTAGGAAAGGGGGCTGGAAAGGGCATTAGCAGTAGGTTAGAGGGCCTTGGATAGCCCCTCCCAAAAGAATTTGAATTTATTTGGTAGGAAATGAGGAGCATTTTAAATTAGTGGAGTGACATGACCAAAATGATGATTTAATGAGATGACTGTAGTCCTGGCTGGTGGTGTGGCTCAGTTGGTTGAGCATGGTCCCATGCATGAGTTGGGGTCCTGGTTGGGGAGCATGCAGGAGGAGACCAATCGATATTTCTCTCCCTCTCTTTCTCCCTCTCTCCTCCCTTCCCCTCTCTCTAATATCAATAAGAACATTAAAAAATTATAAAGAGATTATTCTGATAATTGTATGTGGAATGGATGGATAAGAGAATAAATTCAAAACAGGTTTGGGGTCCATTGTATAAGCATGAGATAAGAACTGGTGGTGGAAGAGGTATATTCGTTCTTTTGTGCACTCAACAAAAATTCCTGCCCTCACGAAGTTCATATTCTCGTGAAGGAAAGAAAATAAAGAAGATAAGTTAGTAAACATACAGGATGTTGGACATGAATGAGTGCTGTGGAGAAAAGTAGTGCACAAAGGGGCATTGGGGCACTGAGCAAAACCCGGAGCAGCGGGGAGAGTGAGCCATGTTGATTCTGGGGGGGACCATTCCAGGGTAAAGTGAAAGCAAGTGAGTTTGGGAGAATCTATTTGAGGAATAACAAAGGGGTATAATATAGTCTGCGCTCAGTAAGCAGGAGGGAGGATAGCTGTCTATGAGCCGTGGGGGCAGCCAGGTTAGGTAGAGCTTGGAGAGGGTAAGGAACAAAGACACAGTCAAGTTTGAAAGCAGTCAGTGGGCCAAGAAAGGACAGGAAATCTCTCTCTCTCACACCCTTGAGGTTTTGAACCTGGCTAACTAGAGACATGTTGAATTTGAGATGAGCCATTGAAACAAGAATTGACCAGCAGATAGTTAGAAATCTAAGGAAAAGATGGAATTGGAAGGGTGAAGTTGAGGAATGCTGTGGCCAGTAAATGAATTGCATATTTCTTGGCTGCAAGGGAAGAAGGAGGGTAACTTAGGTGTAAGTGGCAATCTCATTAGTGAGAGCAGATTAGGTTTGACTTTCTGGTGGCACCAATGGAGAGAGAAAGATTTTTAAAGCTAGAAATGATATTTCTGTAGATAGCCAGTTTTCTCAAGTATTTCTAGAATTAAGACAAAGATACATATTTCCTTGGCTCATTTTATATCTCTGTCCTTATATTGAGCTTTTTCAAAGCCTGAAAACAGCTATGCTTCTGTAAGGTGTAATATCCGAAGGTGGTGTTGAGAGTGGGTCTGTGTCTGTGTTCTTGTTCTTTTCAGTAGTCTGTAAGTAAGAGGAGATACTTAGCTGTATTAAGAAGGTCCTTTTCAACACTTTTCTTTCTAGAACATGAATATCAGCCCATTAGCAGGTCCAGAGTGTGAGCACTCCAAAATCAAACCTTCTGCATCTGCCAATGCCATTTATTCTCTGGCTGCCAGGTGAGTCTACTAAAGCTGTATATCGTACCGTGGAGTTGGTCCTTCTAAACAGTTTACTTATAGAAAATTAAAACCCAGAGGAATACAAGGAAGAAAATAAAAATTGATCTGTATTTGCACCATGTAAAAAGGATCCTCTCTTATGTTTTGGACTGTTTCTTTCCATTCTTTTCTGTTCCATTCCATTCCATTTTTTTTCAAAGAAGCAGTCTTACTGGGGTTCATAAACTTGATTAATTTTTTTCAAAGAAGCAATTTTGGTTTTGTTGATTAAAAAAAAAATTATTTTCTTGCCCGGCCAGCATGGTTCAGCGGTTGAGCATCAACCTATGATGCAGGAGATCTCAGTTTGATTCCCAGTCAGGCATATGCCTGGGTTACGGGCTTGATCCCCAGTAGGGGGCGTGCAGGAGGCACCCCATCAATGACTCTCATCACTGATGTTTCTCTCTCTCTTTCTCCCTCTCACTTCCTCTTTCTGAAATCAATAAAGGTATATTAAAATATAAATATATGTATTTTCTTGCCCAACCAGCGTGACTCAGTGGTTGACTATGGACCAATGAACCAGGAGGTCACAGTTTGATTCCCGGTCAGGGCACATGCCCAGTAGGGGTTGTGTAGGAGGCAGCCGATCAGTGACTTTCTCTCATCATTCAGTTTCTATCTCTCCCTCTCCCTTCCTCTCTCTGAAATCAATAAAAACATATTAAAAAATTATTTTCTTAATTCTTATTTTTAATTTTAATTCTTAATTCTTAGGTATATGCTTTTTTTGTGGTAAAGTACACATGGCATTAAATTTTTTCATCTTACTCACTTATAAGTATACAGTTTAGTGGTATTAATTAAATACTTCACATTGTGCAACCATCACCACCATCCATCTTCATAACTCTCTTCATTTTGTAAAACTCTATACTTATTAAACAATAACTCCTCATTTTCCCCTCCCCCCAGTCCCTGACAACCACCATTACACTTTTTGTCTTTGTGATTTTGACTACTTTAAATGCCTAATGTAAATAGAATCATACAGTATTTGTCTTTTGGTGACTAGCTTACTTCATGCAGGAGAATGTCTTCACGATTTGTCATGTTGTAACATATTGAAGAACACGCTCCATTTTATTTTATTTATTTATTTATTTAATTAATTTTATTATTTTATTTTTTAAAAACATATCTTTGTTGATTTCAGAGAGAGGAAAGGAGAGGGAGAGAGATAGAAACATCAGTGATGAGAGAGTCATTGATCGACTAGGGATGGAGCCCCCAACCTGGGCACGTGCCCTGACTGGGAATCAGACCTCGATCTCCTGGATCCTAGGTTGATGCTCAGTCGCGGAGCCACGCCCGCCTGACAATACTCTCCCCTTTAGAGGCTGAGTAATGTTCCATTGTATGTATAGGCTGCATCTTGCTTATCCATTCCCCAATGGGCACTTGGGTCCTCTTTGTTTTAGCTGTCGTAAGTGATGCTGCTGTGAAATGGGTGAGTAATTATCTCTTTAAGACCCTGCTTTCAGTTCTTTGGGGTATATACCCAGAAGTTGAATTGCTGGATCATATGTTAATTCTATTTTTAATTTTTTGAGGCACCATTATACTGGTTTTCACAGCAGTTGTACTATTCTACATCTCCACCAATGGTGCACAAAGGTTCCAATTTCTCCAAATTTTCACCACTTTTTGTTTTCTGTTGTTTGTTTTGTTTTGTTTTGTTTTTTATAGTAGCCATCCTAATGGGTGTGAAGTGTGGTATCTCCTGGTAGTTTTGTTTTGCATTTCCCTGATGATTAGTTATGTTGAGCATTTTTTCATGTGCTTATTGGTCATTCATATACCTTCTTTAAAGAAATGTCTATTTAAGGCCTTTGCCCATTTTTAAATCAAATTGTTTGTGTTGAATTTTAGAAGTTCTCTTCATATTCTGGATATTAATTCCTTATCATATATATGATTTGCAGATATTTTCTCCCATTCTGTGGGTTGCCATTTTAGTTCTTGATGCACAGAATTTTAAAATTTTCATAAAGTCCAGTATGTCTATTTTTTTCTTTTGTTACTTGTGCCTTTGATGTCATTTCCGAGTTTAGTTTTAGGTCTTACACTTAGGTCCTTGATTTCTTTTTGAGTTAATTTTGTATGTGGTGTTTCATTCTTGTGCATGTGGATATCCAGTTTTCCCAGCACCATTTGTTGAAAAGACTGCCCTTTCTTCATTAAAAATCTTAGCACCCTTGACAAAAATCATTTGATCATTTATGTGAGGGTTCATTTCTAGGCTTTCTATTTTATTTTGTTTCATCTGTCCTTATGCCAATACCACAGTTTTTTTCAATTAGTTAGGTTGTTGATTTGAGATCGCTCCTGTTTGTTTGTTTGTTTTGTTAATCCTCACCCGAGTATATTTTTCCCATTGATTTTTAGAGAGAGTGGAGGAGAGGGAAGGGGAGAGAGAGAAACATTGATGTGAGAGAGACACATAGATTGGTTGCCTCCTACATCTGCCCCAGGATCAAACCTGCAACCCAGGTTTGTGCCCTTGACTAGGAACCGAACTGGTGACCCTTTGGTGCGCAGCCACTGAACAACACTGGCCAGGGCAGATTGTTCCTTTTTGTTTTTTGGATACATCTTTATTGATTTCAGAGAGAGGAAAGGAGAGGGAGAGAGAGAGAGGGAGAGAGAGATAGAAACATCAATGATGAGAGTCATCGATTGGCTGCCTCCTGCACGCCCCCCCACTGGGGATCGAGCCCACAACCTGAGCATGTGCCCTAACTGAGAATTGAACCTCAATCTGCTGGATCCTAGGTCGATCCTCAGCCACTGAGCCACGCTGGCCAGGCTGGTTCCTGTTTTTCAATGTAAGCATTTACAGCTATAAATTTACCCCTTAGCACTACTTTGACTGCATCCCATAAGTTTTGGTATGTTTTCGTTTTCATTCACCTCTAAATATTTTCTAATTTCTCTTGTAATTTCTTCTTTTATCAGATGGTTGTTTAAAAGTGTATTGTTTAATTTCCATAATTTTGTTAGTTTTTAATTTTGTTGTTATTGATTTCCAACTTCATCCTGTTATGGTCAGAGAAGATACTTTGTGTCATATCTGTCTTTTAAATTTTATTGGGACATAATTGTAGCCTAACATCCTGTCTGTCTGGAAAATGTCTAGGGGGCACTTGAGAAGCATGATTCAAGGTCAGAGTATTGGCACAGCTGGTTTCTGGTGAGGAATCTTCCTGGCTCCCAGGCTTTCATAACCTTCTTGCTGCGTTCTCGCCGCCTGTCCACAGGGAGAAGTACAGAGAGCAACAGCAAGGTCTCTGGTGTCTCTCTCTTTTTTTACTGGTGTCTCCTCTTATAAGGACAGCAATCCTGTTGAATCGGTGCCCCATGCTTATGACCTTATCCAGTCTTAATTACTTCCTCTGAGGCCCAGTCTCCAAATACAGTCACACTGGGGATGACGGCTTCAACATATGAATTTTGTGAGGACACACATTTTGACATGTCATATTTTCATTATTGTTCACTTCAAAATACATGCTCTTGCTTTTTGTGATTTCTTCTTTAATTCATCATTTATGTTATTGCCTGATTTCCAAACATTGATTTTCCAGTTATCCTTCTGTTACTGCTTTCTTGCTTCATTCCAGTATGGTCAGAAATCGTAGTCTGTACTTTAACTTCTGAAATTTGTTGAGACCTTTTTTATTGACTAGTTCATAGTAAATTTCAGTGATACATCCCACCGTCATTTCATAAGAATGTGAATTCTGCAGCTGTTAGGCATAGCATTGTATAGATGTCAGCGAGGTCAAGTTTGCTAATTGCATTCAAATCTTCTATCTCCTTCCTAATTTTTTAACCTACATGTTCTGTCAGATACTAAGAGGAGTGTGTTAAATTCTCCCCTATAACTGTGGGTCTCTCTTCCTATTAGTTCTGTGCATTTGTATTTATATGTGACTAAATTTAAGGGGAATTTTTAAAGGAAGTGTTTTTTTTGTTGTTTGGGTTTTTTTGACCGTGTAAAGGAGGGACAGAAAAGTAACCACTTCTTGAGTGGAATGTTCTCATAAGCTACCTTTTGTGAGTGCCATGTTTATGACATAATCATTCCAAGTTTTGCATTGATGTCAGATTGCTACTCCTTTCTTTCAAGGACAGTGTTTTTGTAGTAAAATCACTGGTTTATACAAAGCTTTATTTAGGGGGTAAAGTTAAGCTGCTAAAACCCCATGTTGGCTGCTGCTGTTGAAATACTGTGCTTTGGGAGTGAAAAAAAGGTTATTTGTCTTAAAGAATTTTAAGAAAATGAGTTAGGAGACTTATTCATCTTTCCAGGGAACATACTGATTGATCTTAAAGACTAGACAGTTAGCCCGGCCAGGCGTGGCTCAGCGGTTGAGCATCAACCTAGGATCCAGGCAATCAGGGTTCGATTCCCGGTCAGGGCACATGCCCGGGTTGCGGGCTCAATCAGTGACTCTGTCATCATTGATGTTTTATCTCTCTCTCTCCCCCTCCTTTCCTCTCCCTGAAACCAATAAAGATATATTTAAAAAAAAAAAAAAAGAGAGACTAGACAGTTAAGTAAACGGTGGCTGGAACATCTATTTTTCTACAAAGCTGGAAGAATGAACCCGGTTTTAGAAGAATGTATGACAAAATAAAACATGTGAAGCAGTGAAAAAAAAAAAAAGCAATTTAGAATTATTGATACTAAATAATTGTTTTATTATCCGCTTTACTCTACTTCTTGCCTACCTTTGAAGTCTGCTTTGTCCTATATTAAAATAGCTACATCGGCTCTCTTAGTTGGTGTTTGCATGATCTCTTACCACCCTTTTACTTTCAGTTTTTCTGTGTTCTTACATTTAAAGGTGTATTTCTTATAAACAGTATATACTTTTCCCCCTTAAGTCCAGTCTAGCGTTTTTTTCTTACAATAATTGGAATATTTGTTTCTACGCTTTTCCCTGTATTTTCTTTGTTCATTTCTCTACTTTGTGAAAGTACTTTTATTATAGCATTTTGCCCCTTCAGCTCTTCTTTTAATAGCTATCCTATTAAAAGATTAAAAGAGAATTCCATCACACACCCTTCACTCATTAGAGTGTGCTCTTAACACTTTCTGGACATTTAAATTTCCCACGTTATTCCCTAGAACTCCTCAAGTCTTACTGCTTTGCACACTTCCATCCAGAACCTTTTCCTTCTGCCCAGAAAACTTCTTTTGGCGAGACAGACACAGACTGTGCAGGTGTGGGCGTGGATGAGCGTAGGTGTCTTCCATCAGTGAATTCTCCCAGGTTTTGTTTGACAGAAAATACCTTCTATTTCACTTTAAAAATTTTTAAAGACTTTTTTTACTGAGTGTAGTATTGGACTGGAGTTATTTTCTTTTAGCACTTTAAAAATAACATTGCACTACCATCTGGCTTCCATTGTGTCTGTTGAAAAATTAGCTCCCAGGCTTAAATTTGCTCTTTTCAACGTACTGTTTCTTTTCTGGACCTCTTTGTCTTTGGACCCCAGCAGTTTTTTGTTGTTTTTTTTAATATATCTTTATTGACTTAAGGGAGAGGAAAGGAGAGGGAGAGAGATAGAAACATCAATGATGAGAGAGTCATTGATCGGCTGCAGCCCGCAACCCAGGCGTGTTCCCTGACCGGGAATCGAACCCTGATCGCCTGGATCCTAGGCGAGCCACGGCCGGCTGGGCAGATCCCAGCAGATTTATTGTAATGCCTCTATGTAGTTTTTTGTGGGTTTTTTTTTTCCCTCCTTTTTTTTTTTAATTTTATTTTTGTTTAAAATATTACAGATGTCCTATAGTTTTCTTTATAATTATTCTTCTTAAGGTTTGTAGACTTTTTGATTTTGTGATTTGATGTTTTTAATGTTTTAGAAAATTCTAGGCCACTATTTCTTAAAATAGACTGAGTAGTATAGTCTCTCTTTCTCTCTTGCTGCAACACTAACGACCTGAATGCTTGACTTCGCACCGTTCCTGACATAGGTGTTGTGCTCATTTCAGTGCTCTCCTCTTTTTTCCTGTCTTTAATTGGAGCAGTTCCTGCTATATGGCAAGTCCCTAATCTCTTTGGTAGTTTCTAATCTGCTCTGAACCCCTCTGTTGAATTTGCATTTCCAGATCTGTTTTTAGGCTCTAGAATTTCCATGTGATTTTTTCAGAAATGTATTGATCTGCTTTCTAATAAAAATTCTCCACCCTCTTTTATTGAACGTAGTATTTTAAAGGCCATACCTGTTAACTCTGACTGTGGTTCTCCAGCCTGGCAAGATAGCCAAAGTCTGTTCAGCTCCTCGGTGGCTGCCTTCTGCCTGGCTCATCAGAGCCTAACTCCATGTGCACAGTTCAGGGATTAGCAGTAACTCCTAGTGAAAATTGTAGGCAAAGTTTAAACCTAATTCTCTGCTCTCCTTTCTCCAGGCTTTTTGGCCCCTTACGGATTGGTCATCATGATACCTCAGAATCTGCAGCCTGTTGAAACTGCCTTGAAACCCACAGTTTAGCACAGCTAATAGGGGGCTTACATCCGTGTAATCTCCTTCTCTCTGGAATCTTAGCTTCCTCTCAAGTCTTGGTTGTCTAGTTGCCCTCCAGTGCCTTTCTTTTTTAATTTATTGAGGTGACACTGGTTAATAGGATCATACAGGTTTCAAGTGGGGGTTTCTATGTTACAGTATCTGTATATTACACTGTGTGCCCACCACCCAAAGTCAAATCATCTTCTGTCACCATATATTAGGCCCCTTTAATCCCCCACCTCTTTCCCTCTGGCAGCCACCACACCGCTGTTTGTGTCCACAAGTTTCAGTTTCATATCCCACATATGAGTGAAGTCATATGGTTCCTAGCTTTTCCTTCCAATGCCTTCTTTCTTTTGTATTTTATCCTGCTTTTATTGTTGCTTGTTCTAGGCAGATGGTGAGATGATGCTTGTTACTTGGCCACAGCTGTAAACATGTAAAATGTATATATGTTTTAGATCAAGATATAATTTTATATTCTCTCCTTTTTTAAACTTAGCATTACATCTTGGGCATTTCTCCCTGTTACTTAAAAAGTTCTTCAAAATCTGTACTTTTAAGGATTACATATATAATGTGACTATAACATCATATATTTTAATTATTCCCCTGTTGTTGGGTATTTATTTTATTTAAAAGCTTTTACTGTAATATATTTGTTCTGATGAATATAATCAGAGATGCAGCCAGGGTAGAATTTCTTCGATGAAAGATGGTAAATATTTAAATGTGTGTTTCCAAAATGCTCGCTGAGGATGAGGTGCAATGTTATATTTTTATCAACATCAACAAAAGAATTATAAACATTTTTGGTTGCCCTTTTAATGACCTTTTTCTTTCTATGACAGTAATATGTTAAAGGATATATAGAAAATACAGATCAGTGATGCTGGAGAAGTGGAAGTTGTCCATAATAACCTTACCATTAGTTAGCATGTGATGTGTGTTCATTGCCATTCCTATGTTTGTGGAGTCATGCTGTACATGCTGATTTTCACTAGGAATATCTCAGACATCTTAGGATGTCATTACATATTCTTCTACACAATGATTTTCAAATTATTTCAGTAGATGGCAGAGCAGAGGAGCTGACCGAAGTGTAACCTGTGTGAAGTAGATGAGACCTGCTGGGGTGGGAGCAGAAGTAGACTGGTGTGGCTCTTGCTTGGAGCTTCTAAGGCACTGAGGGACACAGTCGACTTCAGACATGTGTGTCTGTGTGGTTTAAAATTTATTCAGCATTATAAATAATGCTATAGTGAACATTCTTAATTATTTCCTCAGGGAAAATTCCTAGAAGTGTATAAGGGTTTGCATGTTTTGTTAAATAATTTTGCTGAGTTACACTCCAGAAAAGTTATAGCATATATTTATTATTTCTAACACTATATAAGAAAATATCCATTAAAAAACACACAACAGCCCTAGCTGGTTTGGCTCAGTGGTTAGAGCATCCTGGATTTGCTTCCCAGGCAAGGGCACGTGCCTCAGTTGCAAGCTCAGTCCCCAGCCCCGTTGGGGCCAGTGCGGGAGGCAGCCAGCTGATGTGTCTCTCACATCGATGTTCTCCCTCTCCCTTTTTCTCTCTCCCTCTCTCTTTCTCTTTCTCTTTCTCTCTGAAAAACAAAGGAAAAAATACCCTCGGGTGAGAACTAGAAAAAAGCACACAAAACACAACAGAAAGAAAGCACCATTTCCTCCATCTGGACCAGCGTTTGGTATTCTTTTTGTTAATCTTTATGGGTTGTTCCCCCCCACCAACATTTTATTATGAAAAGTTTCAGAGCATTGAGTCAGGATGGAAGATGTTTTATAGTGAGCATTAATATACTCACCTCCTGAATTCTATTAGTATTTTATTATGCTTGTTTTATCACACATTTATCTATCTGTACTTCTACCCACCCATCAGTCTTTCTTTATTGACCACATTTCCAGGCACATTGTAGATAGGTACAGTTCTACTTCAAAACTTCAGCATGTAATGCACAAATAATAAAAGTAATATGTAGACATAAGAAAAAAATCTGAAGTGAGATTATAGGGGATTGTCATCTGTTAGGTTTCTGTAGCATTTAAGTGTTTTATAATAAGCACCTGTTGCTTTTATAATTAGGAAAAATAAACATCAAGTAAACACAGACAAATCCAATAGGTGTTTCTTCAAGTATTTAGAATGTGCAAAAACAGAGAGAGAAAGGGAGAAGAAACACTCAACTCATATTCCTAGAAGCAATTTTGGGTGCATGTGTATGTTTCTTACATGATTGTGTGTTTTTGTTGTTTTGTTTTGTTTTGTTTTGTTTTGTTTTGTTTTGTCTCTGCCTAGTTTCAGAGGGTGGGGTGGCAGGAGAAGTTCTGTTTCAGAAGCTTAGTTTGAGAATGATGTCTGGGTGTAATGGCAAGATCCCTGAAGGCTGGGGTCCGAAGATCTGAGATAGTCCCAGAATTGATACTAACCTCCAAGAAACTTTATTTCTTCTTATTTCCCATTTTTCTTTTATAATAACAGTAGGAAACATGTTTATGCTACAAGATAGTATATGAGAAAGTTTTCAACAAGCTGTATATTCTTTGAAATCACAGGTAGATTTTAGAATTGAGATTTGTGTACATTCCTAGCAGAAGGACCTGCCGTTTCTTGTTTCCTGCCTAGTGAAAGAAAAGCCGGCGTTCCAGCTCTTGGACTGGTGTTCTAACTTACCTGGGCTCAGAGTGTAACTGGTAGAGAGTACTATCTCAGTATAATACATCTCAAACGTAATAGCCTCACCTTTGGTCAGTTAAAAGTGAAAATTGAAGTTAGTATGTTTTTTGTTTTTTTTTTAATTTTCCCTTTTTATTGAATTTATTGGAGTGACCCTGGTTAGCAAAATTATATAGGTTTCATGTGCACAGTTCTACAACACATCATCTGTACATTATTGTGTGTTCACCACCCCAAGTCAAGTCTCCATCCATCCCCCCCATGCCCTCCTCCATTTTCACCCCCCAAGTTAGTGTCTTTTTAACAATTACCTCTCAGCCAGGAGAAATAACAGTTCCCTTGGCGGCATCTATTTTGCTTTGTCAAATTGGAGTTGTGGTTTGTTTGAAGACACTTATTTCATACTGGAAAGTTTTCCAGCTTAATTCTTTGTTTTCTTTTTCTGTTTTTTATTCTTCATCTTCCAGACCTCTTCCTGTGCCAAAGCTGTTGCCTGGGGAGCAGAGTGAAAGTGAGGAGGGCACAGAGTATATGACCCCTTCCTCTAGGCCTCTGGGGCTTCCGAAAGCGGAGGCGAAGCGGCCTTTAGAGACAGCCCAGAATGTGCGGTAGGTTCACAGCAGTCCTGTTTTGGAATTTAGTTGCCACCATGAGACCTGCTTGGCTTGCTGCTTTCACTAGCATTATCCAGCCACAATGAAAGCAGAAAGCAGCATCTGGCTCCTAATGTTTAAGCGTGCTAACAGCTACAAGCAACTCCACTTGTGTTTCCTCAACATCACAATAACCTCAAAACACACATCTATTATGCATCACAAGAGTAGATTTTATGTTTCTTAGTGATCCTGGCAAAAGGATAATGTTCTCTCGATAGACTCTCAGGGTCTGCAATGGTAGTGAACAGATGAGTCTTAATAAGCTTGCAGGTGGCAGAGTTCTGCTTCTGAAGGTCACTGTGCTGCTTTCTTTCCGGCTCAGAGTGTGTGAGTGTGACCAGCAGGTTGATGGCTGCACATATGAGGCAATGTACAACATTCAGTCCCAGGTGGCGCCACCGGTCACAGAGAGCAGCACCTTTGGTGAGTAGCTACGCATTCTGCTACTTTAAAAATCATTGATGTGCCATAGGAATGAACCCGTAATATTTGGCTAGTGAGATAGCATGATCTAAGCAGAAAATTCTAAATAAAAATTTTAAATAATTTCATTTGCAAAATATCTTTTATCCACGGGCAGTAAAACCACCTCCTCTCTTTTATTTCCTGTTCACACAGCTAGTTTCTTCTGTGCTTTTTCACCCTCCCGGGGCTCGGAGACCCTCGTGGTAATGGCCTGGACCTGCAGTGCTGGCAGCTCCTTTTCCCTCCCATTGCTTTTTAGCATTGATGACATTCTTGTTGTGTGTGGGTGGTGAATACTCAGTTCCCTGTTAACTAGCTTGCCAAGTTGAAAGTGCAAGAATTGCAGCACACCCAAGACCCTTTGGCTGATCTTCCAAGGTGAAGTACAGATAAAATTTTGAATGAATGCTGTCAAGTGGCATTGAGTGGCTTAACCTTGGCAAAGGTAGCTTTTGACATGTTCAGAAAGGTAGAGCTGCAGAATTGGTGTAGATTTTATTTTCTGTCTCTCTTCTCTGCACCCACAGGGCCCTACCTGGTTTTTGGCCTATAGTAAACATTCAGTAATGCTTTGACTCTGTACATACATGCAGGAGTGACTGGATGCCCCTACAGCACATGTGTTAGAGGGCGATGTGCATTAGAAGGTAACTGCGCAAACTCTGCTCTAGGGGAAGGTGACCAGGCTGCAGCCCGCGCCAGCCTTGGCCCTGAGGAATTGGAGAATGAAGAAGATGGCTATGATGTCCCTAAGCCGCCTGTGCCCTCAGCGCTGGCCCGCCGGACGCTCTCCGATATCTCTAACGCCAGCTCCTCCTTCGGCTGGTTGTCTCTGGAAGGTGACCCCACAGCAAGTGAGTCTCCAGGCTCCCTTGGGCTTGTGCTGAACTGCTGTATGGCTCCTGATTGATACTGAATAGAGACGCCTGGCCGCCTGGTGACAATAAGTCAGCAGCTGGAAGTAGCAGACTCAAAAGTATGTCTAAGTGGGAGGAACATTGGTCCCGGGTCCAAGTTAGGAAGTTAAACTGTAATCAGACTCTTGGGGATTTTGCCAGACTTAGAAATGAGGTTCTTCCTCAAGGAGGACCCTGGCTCTCCCGGGTGCGTGCCATGGTGGTGCTTAGCGAGCCAAGCCGATGGCTCAGACCACACATTCCCCTGGGGGCTGTGCTGGCTCAGGGAGACACACTGCAGGGCAGGGGCCAGCCCATCTGGGCCTTGTGCCGAGGTCTGTTTTCCTTGCACCTGTGGCTGCCGGGAGAGCAGCAGAACTGCTGTTGCTTGGACAGCTGGTGATGACACAGTATCCAGTCTCCGAAGCAGGTGGTGAGTTCGTGCTGCCCAGCCTCTTAATGCTTCACTGCACATCATGCTCATTGCTGTTCTCTTGTTTTCAAAAGGAGAATTCTAGTGTCTTCTCTGGCGGCCTGGGAAAAACTTAAAGCATAATGCAGGCAGTGCTGTGTGTGGAGACTCGTTGCCAAGTGTAAAGCATGATGCAAATGCAGATGCTCTGTGATTATGATGGCGACAACTGGGGCTAGTGGCCAGGCGCAGGGTGCGCTTAGAAGGCAGCTCCTGCTGCAAGGGGAGGCTGGGCACTAAAACCCTTGAACCAGCCTTCTCACTGGAGAGCATGTGTTCCCAGGTGATGGAAGGTCAGTGATACCTGATGCTGGCACATTGGTGTTACTACAGCCATTAAGGCAGGGTCCCCCAGATTGGCAAACATTTTCTTTCTTATTTCTTCTAGACTTCACTGAGGGTTCCCAAGTTCCCGAGAGGCCTCCCAAGCCGTTCCCTCGGAGAATCAACTCTGAACGAAAGGCCAGTCACTGCCAGCCAGGTGCTGCCACTGCCACCACCACCTCGCCGCAGCTCTCCAGTGAGATCGAGAACCTCATGAGCCAGGGCTACTCCTACCAGGACATTCAGAAAGCTTTGCTCATTGCCCACAACAACATCGAAATGGCCAAAGATATCCTCCGGGAATTTGTCTCTATTTCTTCTCCTGCCCATGTAGCAACCTAGCACACCACCACCTGCTGCAGCCGGAGGGAGAGGATGGGCCGGGAGCTCTTCCTCAAGCAGCACCTGATGGCACGAGCGTCTGTGGAGGCTCTGGAGTGAAGGTCGGCCTGTCTGCTGGCGCCGCCTCTGGGGTGCTAAGATTTCAAAGGAGTGGGATGACAAGGGAGCAGCTGGTGTTTTCTTATTTTATCTGTTTTGGGAGGCACTTGAAGGTGTCCTCAGTCCCCACTTAGAGAGTGTGGGTTTCTAAAAATGGTAGCCTACCTGGGGAACAGTCCAGAAAGCAGTAAGAAGAAGGAGTGCTGTACTCTGGATCCTGATGGAAGACTTAAGGTTTCCTGGGTGAGGAATGTGGTGTGTGCGTGTGTATGTCTGTGGTTGTGTGTGTCCCGTGATAATGAGATTAACTTGCTGTCTGTGTTAATCCCGGGCAGGGACAATTAGCACAAGAGAGTTAGGAAGGAATCTTTTTAAAGCTCCCATGTACTGTGGTATTGTACTGACCCCAGTGTGTATTACAGCTTCAACACTCCCTGTGGCTTGGATTCTACCCTTAGCTAAACTCTTGTACTTTTAGAATTCCCTCCCTTAGCCTTTCCCCTTCCCTCTTTCCTCCTCCTCCTTGTGTCTCTCACTGGCACTTGGCTTGCTGTGACCAGCCTTATTGAAGCCAAATGACTTACAGGATGTTCTTTATTATGTGTGAGGTGTCGGTTTGGTTGGTAGATAGGTGGGGCAAAAGTACGGTTGCTGTGTCATTACAGTCACGTTTGATACCAGCAGCTAACACTAGTCACTCCAAAGCACCGTGTCTCTAGGAACACTGAGTCTGGTAAAGTGAGGCGTTTTCATGGTCATACTATGTAATGACCGGTCTGAGATAGAGGCCTTCAGATACATTCCGTGCCCCCCTAGAGAGCAGCCTGTGGAGCCAGTTGTCTTGGTGCAGGTGTGTGCCTGTCAGGTCATGAGTGTTTCTGCTGAACCAGAAGGGCAAACATTTGTTTCCAGCCTGGCTTTCTGGCCTGACCGCCCTGAGGCGCTCAGGAAGCCTCGTTCACGTGCTCTTCACCTTGTCATCCGTAAAATGCACAGAATAGACAATACGGACTTACTTACCCAGTTTTTCTTCCCAGTGAGTGAATTCCAGCTTACATGGGTGTCTCCCTTTGAACATAAGGTCATTTTTTCAGAAGGGGTTTTTCCTTTGCCCTCCAGGAACAGGGCACCGTCCACATAGTAGCACAGCGCTTTGCTGATAATTAGCACCAGCCCTGCATCGGTGCCACCCAGCAACTTGGTTTTCTCTTGTGCCTGGGCTTTGGGGATGTAGCATTTCCTTCCCCTTTCCTATTCACCTTAGGTCCCGTGTACACGTTAATGACCGTGTTCCCCCAGTAACTAGACTCTGTTTAGTGTAGTAAATGACTTTACTGAAGTCGGAGACAGTCTGAGCAGCCAGGCCGCTCATGTGACTGCAGGCTCCTAAGTAGACTCAGCAGTGTGGAGCACCCTGCCCATCTGCAGGTACTGCTGAGCGGCCTCTCGGGCTCAGCGCACTTACCCAGAGTCCTGGGCTGACTTCCCAGCACAGTGCAGCCTCTCCCGCACCTGAAGCAATCCTGCTCTTTGACGAATCTGCCCTCCTCAGAATCTAAAGCTTGTTTTTGCCTTTAGATCCACACAGAAACAACTCTCCTTGGATCTGTTTCCTGTCTCGTCATCTTTGTAACTGAAACTTCTCCTAAGGTTTCTCTTGGCTGTCAGCTCTTCCGAGGTCTTTCAGTTTTACTCTCTTATCTCGGAGCCCCTTACGTTCTCATAGTGGGCAGCACGGGGCTTCTCGTTGCTCCGCATGACTGTCCAGTGTCTCCTCTGCAAGGTGGAGCAGAGCGTGGTCCCCCAGGTGCGGAGGCCCTCACTGGGGTGGGGGCAGAGGACAGTGGCAGCGAGAGGAAACAGTAACTTGACGTTCCTTTCTAAAAGCCAGATTAGTGTTTCATTTGTGGTAACATTTACTTTTGTATTTTGTTGAGATTTTGAAGGCCTCTAGACAAAGAACTAAAGTGGCAGCAGGTTCCATGCCTCTCTACACTGAAATGTCCGTATCTGTAGACACTGCCCACAGTCTGAAGATCTATCAAGAGACCACAGCCCTGGCATCCAAAGTCTTCGTTAGAGAGTATGTCCTTGCTTATGCAGGCTCAGGGCAGGTCCACCCTCTTTTCCCAGTGGAGCACTTGTGTGGCTTTCTGGCCCTTCCTGAGCTGGGCTGCAGGTGCTTGTGTTGAACTTGTGCACCACTGATTGGATGGTTAATAGCTTGTCCCCTGTGTATCTGGGGGCATTCAGAGTTCTAGACGCCTGGAAGGTTTTTCCGTTTGGCTGGCGCTCTGTGTGCACCTGGATCCACGCCTGAGAGTGCCAGGCGATCCTCAGGACAGTTTTCATATGGCTCTTGTTTTGAGGATATTACAGAAACATTAATTTCTTTTTTTTAAAATATATCTTTATTGATTTCAGAGAGAGGAAAGGAGAGGGAGAGATAGATAGATAGAAACATCAATGATGAGAGAGTCATTGATCGGCTGCCTCCTGCATGCCCCCAACTGGGGATCAAGCCTGAAAACCGGGCATGTGCCCCGACCAGGAATTGAACCCCGATCGCCTGGATCCTAGGTCGATGCTCAACCGCTGAGCCACGCTCGGCCGGGCAACATTAATTTCTTAAACTTTTGACTAAGGCCCTAATAAGTCATCCCTCAAACTCCATTTGTATGGCAATTTTTAATTCTTTGGCTCTGCTCTGAATTTAACTAAAATTGCCCTTTCACAGGCAGGCTTTGAGTTTTGCCATTTTTGGTAAACTTACCCCTTTCCCTTCTATCACAAATGAGCCCTCCCCTACTAACTTCCAGGTGGGTGAGGTAGAAGCCACTTTGATGGCTCTCCTTTTCTTAAACGCATTAGGCTATTCTATTTAACCCAATCTCCTGCTTTTTGAGTTGCTTTTTAAAAAAATATATCCTCACCTGAGGAAAAGTTTTTATTGATTTTGAGAGAGGAAGGGAGAGAGGGAAGGAGGGAGGGGGAGAGAGAGAGAGAGAGAAACATCGATTGATTGCCTCCCGTATGCACCCCAACTGGGGCTTAAAGTCACAACCCAGGCATGTGCCCTTACCAGGAATCGAACCTGCAACCTTTTGGTGTATGGGATGACATTCAACCAACTGAGCCACCCAGCCAGGGCTCCTGGGTTGCTTTACACGGCCTGCACACCGCAGTAACTGGGTGGCTGCTTTGCAATACTTGCAGTCATTTGCCCCTGCTATCTCCCACTAACACACAGGGCTCTCAAAGTGGGGGAGAACTGTGGGCTCTCAGATACTCCTCCCTGTAGGTAATCCTCCATGTAAATAGTGGGTGGTCATTTCTCCCAATGCCCTCTCCCCTCAGCCCCACTCTAGCGGCTTTCCCACTCTCCCTTTCTCTCCTGGTACAGACTCTCAGCACCAGGGCCCAGGGGTATCATTTTGCTGTTTTGTGGATTAAAAAAACATTTTGCATGTGTGTTGGGGGGGTGCTTCTCTTCACACTTGAAGTATTTATTTCTTCTATAGAAATAAATGTCCAAACAGCAAACTTATAAATGAATTTTTGTAAATTTGTTTGCAAAGTAGGGACTCAGCTGTGTGTTCTGTTTAAGGCACTATTAACAAGACCTAGACCCTTTGTTTTCTTCTTTATTGAGATATAATTGGCATAACATATATTAGTTTTAGGTGTTGTAAGTTTAGTAAGCATCCATTACCATACAAAATTACAGAACTCTTTTTCCTTGTGTTGAGAACTTTTAAGACTTATTCTTGGCAATGTTCACATATGTGCTGAGGGTCAACATGGGTGGGTGAGAGTGAGGGTGCGCGCAGAATCTTCTCTGCCTCACCTCACGGTGTCAGGGGCTGCAGAACTTCCTCCAGCTGTTTGCTAGCCCCCCTCTTACTGTTCTCCCTGACTCTGCCCATGGAGTAACTGCTCCGACCGCGGGCCTGTCTGCCAGCTTGTTCATGCAGCAGACAGATGTGAGTGATCAGCATGCGCGAGGTGTCAGCCCTGGCCTTCCCTGCCACCAGGCAGTGGATTCGCTAGTGGCAGGATTGCACTTGGGCTGCCTGGCACTAGCTTTTGGCCCTTCCTGATGAGATTGTGTAGTTTTTACAGCTTTTACATCTCCTTTTAGAGCCATCCTGCTTAACATCAGTTCATGATGCTCCCATTACTCCTATTGTCTTCCTGTAGCCTTGATAATGTCTGGGAGTTTCCTCAGCATAAGTCTCATGGGTACTTTACTGTATTTCAAGTGGAACCTGTGTGGTGGGTTGAGGGGCATGTTGGCTCAGAGTTGCACTGTAGGGCAGTTGAATGTTTAAGCAAAGCGTCTGCCCACAGCTCCCTTTCCAGTCTAGTGCCTTCCTTCACCTTCCTACTGAGCCTTGCATGTTCCCAATCTCCCTTGTTGGGAGGTTTCCTTATCAGCCTTCTGGGACCTGTCACCGTCTCCCATTCTACTTGGAACTTGTTTCCCAATCCTTCAACAACCTCTGCAGCCAACCCTGTGTCTTAGAATGGCTGAAGGTGCAGGAGAGGGATGGGCCCTTGTCCTGGGTCCTGATCTTCAACCAGTTTGGTCTCCCTAGAGTCAGGCAGTAAAGTAGACAGAACTCAGTCAGTTCTCAGAAATGTCAGTTTCTGTCTCTTGAGGTAGGGAGCAGAGAGCTTAAGAGACCCTAGACCTGGGTCACAGTCAGTACACCCTCCTAGACTTTTGGGCTTTGTTCCCACCTGACGTGCTCCGGTTCACAGAAAGCATCACCATCGCCTTCCCTGTCCAGTTGCTCTGATCTCCGACTACATTAACAATCTCTCTAGAATTGCACACACCGGTCCAACACATGGAGGAGGGTGCACCGTGGAAGAAGGTCAAGTTTGTATCTTTGACTGTCCTGTTTGGGAATCCTTTGGATGCAAGAAACAGAAGTACTCAGGGTAAAAGAAAGAGGGAGTCATAGGATGCAGGGTGTTTCCGAGAACCCAGGAGAGGAAATGCAGCTGCCTCTTGCATGGAGCTGGAGCTGGATCCTGTGTGCCTAGGCCTTCAGCCTGTCTGTCCACTTATTGGCATGCATCAGCCCAAAATAGACACCCCAGCGCTCCAGTCCACGTGGCTCCCAACTCAAGATCACCGTGCAGATTCCCAGTGCCTCTTACGTTAAGAAAGAATGTGCCCCGCCCACCAGTCAGCCTCGCCACCCAGGCCTCAGCAGCATCTCCCTCGGGGGTGAGGGTTCCCAGAGAAGGGGTACAGATGGGACAGGTGCCCTGAAAGTACTTCAGGAGTAAACAATGAGCGTGCTGCTGTTCTGAGCGAGAAAAGGCAGCTGTGGGACTGTCTGGGACATCAAGGAAATTCTTAAGTGTAAATTAATTCAGGTTGCAATCTTTTCTCTTTTTCTTCTCTATGAGTCTTGGCATCCAGTATTTGTTATCTCCCTGTTGAGGACAAGTTTCTCCTGTTGCAGAGCTAGTCTGTTATTAGTGTGACATTTCTTGGCCCTCACTCAATCTCAGGTTTGTAGCCTCTTTTCATGTTAGAGCGCGTATCACAAATCCCACTGTGGTCGCCATGGCCTTCTGGGCTCCCTTCAGGTTTCAGTACTGCCGTATTCATCCTGTGGCCTGTGTCCCCCCTCACCTCCTCCTCACCCTTCCATTTGGTCTCTCCTGTGTGAGGGTAGCTCCTCAGTAAGACTCACAGGCCAGCTTCCCTGGGTACCTCAGAAACCATGCAGTGGTTGGGAGTTGTCAGGATATAGTTACATACAGGGCTCAGCTTGGAAGGGAGTTTTTCCTGCGAGCCCCTGGCAGGACACCTTCGCCTTCCCTGCCCAGTGCTTGCTTTGTAGTCCTATATTAAAACTTTTATGTTTTTATTTTTTAAAACTGAGCTTCTGCTTTCCTCTTTGGTCTTCATCTCATCCTAGAGCTGTCCTGTGTGAGGCATTCCATAGCATACCTTAAACTGTCGGCGCTGTTAGATATGCCCGGGAGGAACCTTACAGTCCAAAGATGGCACTGGGCACCTGGAGGCTGGGCTGTCAGACTCATGAGGTCTGGTCTGGGCCCTGGAGCTGAGGAGCAGGGATAGCAGTGCACATGCCCTCAGTGTCCCAGGACATCTGGCTTGGTTTCAAGGTTAGGGATGGGTGCCATGTTTCTTGGTTCTGGAAAACAGCACAAGAGTAAGAGGTGGGGAAGAAGGGGTGCAGGCTCTGTGTGCAAGCTCCTTCCTAGTCCGACGGAAAGTGCTGCCCTTTCCTTGCACAGTGCCTGAGACGTACTCCCTCCCCTCCGCCTGCACAGAGCAAAGGCCCAAAGCCAGCCTCCCATCTGTGGATTTGACAGCCGAACAAATCCAAAGCGGCGAGTTCTGATTGCCCGTCTCACATTCTGGATTCAGTCCCCAAAAGTCAATGCAAGAGGCACCCTCCACTGCCCCTCACAAGTTCTAGCCCTGAACCAGCCTGGGAGGCAGGGGCTTGCTCAACAAGTGCTCTGTGCAGCTGCTCAGGCCCCGCTGGAGGCAGGCAGTGCCCTCTCCCGGCCTCTGACCCTGCTGGGATGGCCGAGGGTAGCCACCCTCTGCTTAGAGCCTGTAATCTGTTCCCTCCTCCTCGGCCCCTTCCGTGGCCTCCTGCTGTCGGGGTGAGGAAGCCTGGGGGCGGGTGGGCGCAGTGCCCGGGAGAGATGCTGCCTGCCCTGCCCCTTGTAGTTCCCGTGTCTTGTACCTGCTGAGCCCTGGCTGGCCTGGCCCCTATGAAGCACCCGACACCCGCTTTCTCGCTGTGGTGATTTGGAACTTTTAACCTTATATATCTTTTTCCTTTTGCTTTGTTTAAAACAAAGCAATTTTTAGCACACTGAAGAAAAAAAAAAAGCTAAACATTCTGTGCCTTTCTAAGGCAGCACTGTATCCCAGGCTGCGTCTTAGAGCTTAATATGGAAACACCAGTCTCAGCCCCGCTCTGCCACGTGTCACTGTCCCCAGGCCAGGGAGGAAGCTGGCACACAGGGTAGCATGGCTGGTCCCTTTCCTGCCATGAGCTTAGTTGGCAGAATGGGCAGGGGACTGGGGGTCCTTTGGTTGGTTCCAGTCAGCCTTAGTTACCAGCTTGAGTGGTGTCTCTGGCAGGACAGCAATGTCCTGTGACTCTGGGTCTGCCTGGACTTCAAGTCCCAGCCTCCAGATCCCAGGATGACCGCTGTGTGGGAGAGCCAGGTGGACTCTCCTGAGAAGGGTGGTTTTGTCTTCCATTTTGGTGGATCCTGAACTGGCCTAGACCTCCTGCCTCTCCCTTGCGTGTGAAGCTTCATACTTAAAGCATTAAGCAGCTGGTGCCTCTATGGGATCGTTTTCCCTGGGAAGGCAGCAGGAAAGGTGTCCCGACACCTGTCCTCATATGGTGGCCACTAGGTTTCGGGGGGGGGTGGGGGGTGTTTTCTATATGACGGCATCTTCCTTCTCTCCCCTTCCTCGGTTTCCCCACCTCATCAAGGAGGTGGAGAGTCCCTGACGCCCCATTTGACTGCACATCCTGGTCTGGGCGGGGCTGCAGAGCCGTGTGTGTCAGTGTTAAACATGAAAACTTAGGTGGGATTTTTGTTGGCTATTTTAAAAATGTGTCATTAATATAAAAAATTTTATATTAGTATTTAATCTTTCTCACATGTAAAGAAAGAAAAACAGAAGGTAAATATTCTTACAGAGACTAGCAGAGCTTTAAGATTCGTTTCATTTTAAGTCCATTTTTTGCCAGTGTATTAATGTTTAGAGGTCTGTTATACTAATGTTATTTATTAATTTTTTTCATTTATATAGTTAACTAAAGAGCTTTTCCAAGCACCCATGTCTGTAAAGTATTTTTAAATAAAGTTTCTTTTGTTGTAGCCGACTTGAGTTCCTGCTTTCCCGGGGGGCGGAGGATGATAACTGGGGAGCTATAGGCCTGCTCATCACAGGTCTGCATGCTGCCTGCCGCTTCTGGGGCAAGTGCAGGTGACAGGAAGCCCGCCAGGCTTTGGGCGCCTGCTGCCGAGGAGTGGGGGTCGCCCAGTGGTGGAGCTGAACCACTTGCTCTGCTGCAGCTGCCAGGGTGGTGGTCCTTCTGGACAGTTCCACGTGTAGCCCAGGCCACCGTGGTTCCCACAGTGAAGGAAGCACAGTGAAAGGGTTCTGGGACAACCAAGCTTTATTCTCCATGTGCACGCACGTGTGTGTGTGTGTGTGTGTGTGCGCGCGCGCATGTGTGTAAAGGAAGCTTTGCAAATTTACAACCTAACAAAACCACACACACAGATACACACACACGCTCTGGCCCCAGTTTCTCATCCTTAAAGCACCATCCTCCCACTGGGGTCCTTCTTTGGGGGTCTAGGTCCATTAGCTCAATTTGTAGAAGTTTGGTGCTAGTATAACTGATCTTAATCCCCTTAAAGGACCACATGGACCTCATCTCTGCCCTACTCTCGCCTTTCAGTCTATGATCACGAGCTGACTGAACAGAGGGGCTGTGCTCCATGGCCTCCACTCTGGGAACGTGCTCAGCTTCCCCGCTGCAGGGACAGAGATAGAGCCAACGCATCTTTGAAGGAATGACACCAGTTCCTGGCTTCTGCCCAGGGAAAGGGGTGTCACAAAAGGGACTCCTGCAGGCAGGCAGGCAACTGGTCTCCACACTGCTGGGCAGGCTCACGCCAGGGCACACCACACGCCACCCGGGGAGGAGGGCCTGGCTCAGTGTGCCCCACCTGCAGTGATACACTCAACCGTGAAGCCAGCTGTGGGGCAGGAACCCCCTCAAGGCAAACAGGCCACCTGGTTCCGCAGCTGTTGGTAGAAGACGGTGACATATATCCACCATGTGGGTAAAGAGAAAACGTTCTGCAAGGAGCCCTCCTACCGTCTCCTGAACATTGAGCCCCTCGGGAATGAGCAGCACTCAACACTTCAAGATGGTGGGGTGGCCCCAGGAGGGGCTGCCAGGGCCGCGTGAGGTCCTGCTTGGGAGCGCCCTGGTCCTGGCCAGCCCTCTGAAGTGGGGTCTGCAGGTGAGGGGCAGGGGTGGTCTCTGTCCTTCACTTCAGAGGCTTTGGTGACAGTCCTGAGTGCTGGGGAGGGCGAGCAGGGAGCAGACGCGCCAGCGGAAGCGGAGCTCAGTGTGGCTCCGTGGCTAGTGCCTCAGATCGATGTATTTCTCTCCCTAAAAATGGGGGGAGAGAAGTGAGAGGGGACATGGAGATGAGGAGCAGAGCTCAGTGTGCGGGCACCAGGAGGGACGAAGCACGAGCGGATGCGCCAGGTGCAGCAGCCCGCAGGGGAGCCCGGCGGGCAGGGGGCAGGCGGCAGGCGGCATGCGGCAGTCTAGGCCCCGAGGCAGCCGGGCCCCTTCACAGCCCGTGGCCTGAGCCGCAAGTGCCGTCTGGGAAATGGTGATGGCGAGGGGACGGGTCTTTGCTCTCAGTCCTGGGAGCTACCTTGTCCAGGGTCCCTCAGCCACTTGCCTGGCCCTACCATCTGTGAATAGTGTTAGGGGGCAAGATGGGGTCTGCTCCCAATCTCCAGCAGAGAAAAAGGACAAAGTTAGTTTCGGGGGGAGAACCGTAAGCCCCTGTTGTCCCCAGTCCCTGAAGCTGTGTCAGGCACTGGCCATAGCAACTGCCTCCTACCTGGTCTCCTGGAGCCCTCTTGTCACCGTTGCTGCCCTGTAGGAGGCCCATCTCTTCTGGGAGCTTATCTGACTTAACTTCAACTACAAAGTCACTCTTACGAGATGGGGGCAGCGTTCTGGGAGGAGGAAGGGAGGCAAGAGGTTGGCAACTCGGGGGGGAAGGAAGGACAGGGGCCCTTGGAAAGGACTGGGCTGGGCGATAGGCTCTTCAGTGCCCTGGGGCGAGCACGGGGAAGGGAAATGGGTAATGCGTGAAAGGGAGGCAGTGTGATTAACGGAAGCTTGGAGGTGGGCAGGAAAGCACGGAGCACTCAGACCCCGTCTCACTCCTGCTCCTAAGGGGTGAGGGGGCGCCGGGCAAGCAGGGGAACATCCTGAGGAAGCAGCAAGCTGGGTAGCACAAGATGGGTGGGGGCAGGGTGCCAGGAACAGCGCTTACATCTCTTGTTTGCCTGACCGCCCACAAGGCAGCTTGCCCTTCTTGTAGAAGAAATAGAGGACAGCACCCAGCAGAGCCAGGACCAGGAGGCACACTGTCACAGCCACGATGACCACACCCTTGCTTTTGGGCTCCGGCAGCTTCTTCTCTGTCCCACAAAGACACTCCTAGTCAGCCCCCGCCCCAGGCTGCCAGGTTTCCATCGCTGCCCACCCAGCCAAGGGCTGGCAGAAGAGGGCTTCCCAGGGGCGGCAGGGCAGAATGAGGGGCCAGGCCCAGCATACCTGTGGAGGTGCTGTTGGCTCTGGCATGAGGACTGACAGTGGTGGTGGTGAGCCCAGTGGTTCTGTTGGACTCTGGTGGGAGACCAATTAAGTGGGTTGGGACAGAGGTTTGGAAAAGCATAAGCTGATGCCCATGCCTGGACATGCCCCTGGACATACTCTGCAGGGTAAGGCCCTTACCCAGCTCCAGGAAAATGATGGTGGTATTTCTGCCCAGGGAGTTGGAAGCCACACACTCAGCACCGGTCTCCAACAGCTCTGGAGTCACAAGGACATTCAGGATGCTCAGGACACTCTGTGGACCTTGGTCTTGCTCGCTTGCCTACAAGGAAGGAGCAGCCGCTCAGGGGCTGGGGGTGTCCAGAGGCGGCAGTGAAGCCAGGCAGGAATCAGCGGGAGCACAGAGCACGGAAAGATGAGGGTGCCTGCTCACCTTGCCGCCCACACTCCAGGAGATGGTGGGCCGAGGATGTCCTGACGCCTCACAAGACAGATTCAACACCATGTTCTCCTGAACCCACATCTTCCTTTCCTTCAATGCCATCCATGGAGGTCCTGGAGGGGCAGGGGTGGGTGAGGCAGCGAACTCTGCTGGCCTACCTCCCCCTCGCCACTGAGTACTCCAGGGCAGTGGGAGGCCTTTTGTCCTCAAAGAGCTTGAAACACCCAATTTGGGGTGGCTTCAAGGGGCCACACGATCTCTGCTCAAAGGGCCTCACCAAAAATGGCCACGTTGACCAGCTGTGTGGAGTTCAGGCCGGGTACACTGGGCACAGATGCCACACAGCGGTATCCTCCCTCTGCCTCCCGGTTCAGGTTGTGTAAGTCAAGCACAGGCCCCTGGCCCAGCACCCTGCCTGTCTGGGGTGAGAGATGTGTCAGAAGTCACTCCTGACTTCACCCACCCGCAGCCCCAGGGCCGCCTTGGTACCTTTTCTCTCAGCCACTGGAACTCAAGGGCTTGGTTACTCTCTGCTTCACAAGTCAGGGTGAGGTTGCTGCCCTCTTGGCTTTCAGGGGCTGCGGGGCTCACCAAGACATCAGACACATCTGGGGACACAGCAACAGTGTCAGCGCTGTGGGGCAGGGTGGGGTGGATTCCCTCTTGCCCGGCCAAGTCCCCGTCCTGGGCCCCCAGCCCCTCACAGTTCACCAGCAGCTCCTGTTGGTCACTCAGCAGGGAAGCCGTGGTTTCCAGGTCCAGGCCCTGACACTCGTAGAGCCCGCTGTGCTCCTTCTGGGCAGGGGCCAGGACCAGGACCCCGTTGTCAACGGTCGTCTCCTCCACCATCTCCCTGGTGCTGCGGTTCTGGGGGAGGATGACAGGTGAGCAGAGTACCCTCTGCCCCCTCACATCCCAGTCGGCACCCGGGTGTACAACGCCCTTGGCACCTGCTTGCTGATGCTGAAGTGGGGTGGGGGGTTGCCATCAGCCAAACACCTGATTTCCACGCGATCCCCTTCCTTAAGCGCTCCCACGGGCTCCACTTCCAACCACACTTTCTCTGCTGGGTCTGCACAGCAAAGGGGGTAGCTCGCTGCCCACACTGCCACGCTGGGTGGGGAGAGGACAGCAGGAGTCTCCCCCAGGCGGGGCCCCAATTCAAGTCAGTACTCACAGAAAACAGGGACAGTGACTTCCCTCGACTCCTTCATGTGGTTCCCACTGGGCAGCCTGTAGCTGAGCTCACAGTAAAAGTGGGCATCTTTGTCTTCCTTAAGCAGCTGGGCCTTCAGGACGCTCCGCAAGGTGTACAGACCACTGGACTCCACAATCTGGGACGACTGGATGTGGACCTCTGGGCAGGGAGGAAGGGGAGGGGGCTTGGCCTCAGCCTACCTCTGACCCACTGTGGTCTCTGCAGGAGTTGGCAGAGGAGACCTGAAGGGACCCCATCTGTACTTGCCCAGGGCCAGGTACAAAAGGCAAGCTGCCACCCTTCAACCCAGCACCGTCACTGCTCGTTACCTACCCAAGACAAACACACATAGCACACATACAAGGGTGTGTGCAAATCATGCTGCAGTGACGGAAAAAACACATGAGGAAACACTCTAGAGGCCCACTAACACGAGGACGAATGGAACACTGGGCAGCATGCTGAACAATCAGGTCCGTCTAAACAGACTGACCTGCACAGGTTTCCAAGGCTCATGTCAAAGGGAACACGAAACCATACAAAAGCGTGTACTACACACCACCACTGAGACCAGGTGTTCTCCACCTCGGCACCGTTGCCATTTTGGACCTGATAATCCTTTGCTGGGGGCTGTCCTGTGCTTGTAGGATGTTTAGCAGCATCCCTGACCTCTGCCCACTGGGTGCCACTAAGCATCCCTCCATTCGTGACAACTAAAAATACCTCCGGACATTGTCAAATGTCCTGGAGAGGGGGAAGAACCGCCCCTGGTTGAGAAATACTAATTTAGGTAATAAAAAACAAAAGCCTTTGTTTACATATGTAAGGACATAGAAATAGGCTTAAAAGAACACACACTAGCCCTGGCCGGTTTGGCTCAGTGGTTAGAGCGTCGACCCATGGAATGAAGGGTCCTGGGTTCAGTTCCAGCCAAGGGCACGTACCTGAGTTGCAGGCTCGATCCCAGCCCCGGTCAGGGTACATGCGGGAGGCAACCGATCGATATGTCTCTCTCTCTCCTTCCACTCTCTGAAAAGCAATGGAAAAAATATCCTTGGGTGATTAAAAAAACACACACACTAATAGTAGAGATGAATTCTAGGGCAGGGTGTGTATCTGGGGCAGGGAGGAAATCTTCCTTCTAGATTTTTAATACAGTTTAAATTCTTATGAAAACATTTTTAAGTGCACTTTAAAAAAAAGTAAAATAAAATGTAAGGTGGTTTTTAAGGGCTGAGAGGACTACTTACGGTTCTTCTGCTCCTTCAGGGGCCGGCCGTTCTTGTACCAGATGACTTGAGGAACCGGGTACCCATTCCTCCCCACACAGGTAGCAACCTAAGAAGGACAGGATGAGTCTTCCTCCCTGAGACCTCGCCAAGCCCCACCTTAACTCCTCCTACCACCTGGCCACCTCCAAGTAGCTCACCTCCTCAGGCTCCCTACTGTTCACAGAAATGCCCAAGCCATTGGCCTGGATGCTTGGCTCCTCTGGAGCTTCTACAGGGAGAGAAATGGGGGACATGGGACCAGCACTTCATCCACCCACATTGCCCGCAAGGCTGGAGGGGCACTCACTGTAGACACGGAGCTGGATTCGATGCTCCTGGGACCGAGGGCGCTTGCCCTGGCACAGGAAGATGCGCTCATCATGGGGGGTGACATCTGTCAGGGCCAGGGTGGGCCCTTTGTCCTGGAGGCTGAGCCGATGCTGGTACTCCCCAGGCTCGCTCTCCCCTCGGCCCTGGCGCACGCGGAAGATGAGTGTCGGCTTCTCCTTGTGGACCTGAAGGGAGGCAGTAGAGGAGGGGGGTGCTGGGCTACAGGCAGGGTGCCGTCTCCCCACCGTTGTGCCCTCTGCAGCCTCAGCACTCACAGAGAACCAGTCAGCGTGGCTGAAGTTGCCCAGGGAATGGGAGGGGCCACACTTGAGCAGGGCTGTGCTGCCCACTTCCACCTCCACCAGCTCCGGCTCCGGCTGCTCCGCCGCTCCGGGCACACCTGGGGGTGAGGGAAACCCAGCAGTTGTGTCAGCTCCAGCTGCCCTCCACCCCCTCCTTGCACACCCGCTCACTGCAGCTGTTCTTCCTGCCACTTCGGACGTCTGAGAAGGGGCTGTCCTCCCCCAACCCTCAACCACTCTCTACTCTTTGCCTCGGACCAGCCCTCTTCCAGTTCAGGGGAGTTGGGATGGTCATCTCTGGTCATTGGAGCAGAGACCCAGACAGCCAGGCCCCTCCCAGACGAGGTGGCGAGAGGGGCAACCCAGGCTTCGCGCCAAAAGGAAGGCCCCCTTTCCTCCCAGGCCCCTCCTCTCCAAGTGAGCTCAGAGTGTGGGAATGTAGGGTATGTGCCAGGCTGGGCACACAGGCCGCTTTGTGTCCCCACACCCAGAGGAAGACATCACTACTCTACCTTTTGCCCCTCAAAACCCCTCTCCAAGTCCCCCACAAGACACACTGGTTCAATACTGGCCAGAAGCTCCCCTTTCATGTTCCCTAAGCAGCACCTCCATGAACACCCCGCACAATCAGGGGACCCATCCTGGGAGTCTTGTGAGTATGCAGGGGTCACAGTCTCTCCTAGGGGTCAAGACAAGGGCCAGGCAGTGGGCAGGAATGACGTCAGTGGTGCCAGTGTCCTGCCTGCTCTGTCAGGAGGTGATGTCACTTGATGCCCGCTGCCTGGACTCTGGGACCCAGTCTGCCTGGCCTCACTCTGGGACGCAGTCTGCCTAAACTTTCCCTGGGATCCCGTCTGCCTGGCCTCACTCTGGGATCCCGTCTGCCTAAACTCACTCTGGGATCCCGTCTGCCTGGCCTCACTCTGGGACCCAGTCTGCCTGGCCTCACCCTGGGATCCCGTCTGCCTGGCCTCACTCTGGGACCCAGTCTGCCTAAACTCACTCCGGGCCCCAGTCTGCCTGGACTCACTCCGGGCCCCAGTCTGCCTAAACTCACTCCGGGACCCAGTCTGCCTGGACTCACTCCGGGACCCAGTCTGCCTGGACTCACCCTGGGATCCCGTCTGCCTGGCCTCACTCTGGGACCCAGTCTGCCTAAACTCACTCCGGGCCCCAGTCTGCCTAAACTCACTCCGGGCCCCAGTCTGCCTAAACTCACTCCGGGACCCAGTCTGGCCTGGACTCACTCTGGGACCCAGTCTGGCCTGGACTCACTCTGGGACCCAGTCTGCCTAAACTCACTCTGGGACCCTGTCTGCCTAAACTCACTCTGGGACCCTGTCTGCCTAAACTCACTCCGGGGCTCTGTCTGCCTGGACTCACTCCGGGACCCAGTCTGGCCTGGACTCACTCTGGGACCCAGTCTGGCCTGGACTCACTCTGGGACCCAGTCTGCCTAAACTCACTCTGGGACCCTGTCTGCCTAAACTCACTCTGGGACCCTGTCTGCCTAAACTCACTCCGGGGCTCTGTCTGCCTGGACTCACTCCGGGACCCAGTCTGGCCTGGACTCACTCTGGGACCCAGTCTGGCCTGGACTCACTCTGGGACCCAGTCTGCCTGGACTCACTCTGGGACCCAGTCTGCCTGGACTCACTCTGGGACCCAGTCTGCCTGGGCTCTGGGTTGTTGCCCTGGTCTGGCTCCCAGACAAGGAGGACAGATGCAATGGTCCTCAGGCCCCAGCAGAAGCCTCAGATCCCTGGTTCCCTTCCCCCAGATCTAGAAGAGCGGGCGGGGTGGGCTGGACCTGCGGACGCTGTGGAGCTTGACTTAGCCCCTTCCCCAGAAACAGCTGGGGGGGCAGCAGCCCCGGTTACCCCCGGACGCTGTCGCACTGGGCATCAGACCGAGGAGCTGGCTACACCTCGTCCTCCCCTGGCCCAGCCGGACAGCGGCTGCGATCTGGGAGAAGGAGCCAAAAGAAACCTGCGGCACCGCCGCGGCCATACAAGG